AGCTAACTTCTACCTCCGATAGAAAGCTCCAGTGCGATGGCTGTAAGAAACCAATACACATTGCTTGTACGGATCTGTCGGTCGATGATCGAGTTACGAGGCAAAAAGTACGTGGTATATGTATACTATGCAATGCATGCAGTTCAAACATTACGAATATTACTGAAATCAAGAATCTACTTGTCGAGTTTAAAGCGGACATTAAGAAGAAAATTGAAGATTTTGATATTAAACTATCTGAATTCAGCAATAAATTAAATCAACTCGATTCTATTACAACAACAGAATTTACCTACAGCATTGTCAATGAAGCCGCTGACCGCATATCTCGTTCCAAAAATTTTTGGTTAGAGGCGTCCCCGAACCTACAGGAGACGCACAAAATAAAAAAGATCATGATAAGAATAAAATACATTTAGCCCTAGAAGTCATTGGATGTCAAGAAAGTCCTGTTACATTTTATAGAGTCGGTAAACCAAATGAAAATAAACGTTATCCCCGCATGATAAAAGTGATAATGAGTTCTGAACACCACACTCGAAAAATTCTTCGTAACAAAAATAAACTTTTGGAAAACAAATCTACTGAAACGTATTCTGTTATTGATGACAAGACACCTATGCAGCAACTTCGTTTAAAGGAACTTCGTACTGAGCTTGAAACTCGTAAAAATAATGGAGAAAATGACCTTACGATTAAATATGTGAATGGCTGTCCAAAGGTAATGAAATTTCGCTCATAATTCTTCTGCACTAAAATTTACGGATTGGCTTCTCATGTATACTAATCTAAACTCTCTTATGTCCAAATTTAATGAATTTATAAGTACTGTTCAACTTTTAAAACCTCACATTATTCTCCTAACAGAAACGTGGCTTAATTCTTCTATTCCCGATGCTATTGTAAACATTGATAATTTTACTATATTTCGTAGAGACAGAGGTACTCGTCGAGGGGGATGAGTATGCATCTATTTAGCAAATGAAATTACCAACACTTTTTCTATCAGTAATAAAACAATAGACGTACCCGGTATAGAAATTATCCACTTACTTATTACTAATAACTCTTTCATATTTAATATAGTTTGCATATACCAACCTCCTGATACAGTACTTACTCAGGACAATATGCTTATTAACAAACTTGATGAATTATCATCCCTTGAAAATCTCATTGTTGTTGGAGATCTCAATTTTCCAGAAATAAGCTGGCCCATTATTTCCAAAACTGATACTATCAATTCCCAAAATTTGTTTAAAAACTTTATCATGAACTCAAATTTATTACAACTGATAACTGAACCTACAAGGTTTAGAGCCAACAATAATCCTTCAATTTTAGACTTATTTTTCACAAATGACGATGAATTAATTTCTTCACTTGAAGTGTCCTCTCCTGTGGGTCTTTCTGACCACTCGCTTATTACTGCTCACATTCAATTTAGTTTAACACCGCCTTGCAAAAATAATTTCGTAACGTATGCCACTACTAATTTCATTGATGTAAATTCAGTTTTATCCCAGTTAAACTGGCAATCTATTTTTTCTAATCACTCTGATCCATCGTCAATGTGGGACTCTTTTCTTCATACTGCTATTACAACAATTTCTGATCATACAACCGAACGGCAGGTATATAGAAATCGACTAAAACCTTGGATTAACCTCTCAGCTACTCATTTAATTCGACATAAGCGAAAGCTTTGGCGAATATATAAGATATATAAGATCATTTGAAGCGTAATCATAATTACTATTTTCAAATTCAGGGGCAATTGGCCATTACAGACCGGCAATTTGGATATTTTTTGATATGGAGTCCTCACGGTATCCTTGTAGAAAAGGTATAGTTTTTAATATAATCATTTTAGGAGTTATTATTAACATATTTCGGATATGACTAATAACAATATATTAATTTTTATAATATTTCAATTTTTTGTTTGTTATAGATCACTCGAGATGACCTATTTTGGAAAGAAACAATGTTACCAAAGTTAAAGATATTTTATAACAATTGTTTATTACCAGAGTTATTAGATCCGCTACATCCAAAGGGGATACCGATAAGGGATAAAGTCGTAACACCGTCATTTATTTAGGTTTCATTATATTACTATGTTTTAAACGTTAGACTGACTACGTCCATCAGTAAAATTGTAATCGTACAAAAAGTCACTATCATCAACTGTAAGTTTTTTGTATAAACTTTTGAAAATGTTTTCACCTGAAAATCGAAATATCAATATGTTTTTAGTATTAAGATTACAAAAATATATAGTTTTCACCAACCATTAGTAGGTACTTAACTATTTTGAATTCCCAATTCCATTCTAATAATACAAAAATATATAGTTTTAAGTAACTGTTAGTAAGAACTTATAGGTATACCGTGTTAATTAAAATTTTGATATCCTGGTGACTGATAAAAAATGTAGACATCTAAATATATTATATTATATTTAAATTAACATTTATTGATGAATCAACACTGTAAGTGTTTTGTAAAAATCATAGCCGTGAAAATATTTCGGTTCAAAAAATCTTGGGGATTCGACTAACTATCTTTTTTATAGTATTAAAAATTTTATTTTTTTTAAAAACTCAAAGTTTAAATTTTCTTGCTTTACATTACAAATATCACATATATTTATTACCTAAAAAGAAAAATTAGACAGTCAATACAAGTTTTTATAAAAGCTCCTATCAAGAAAAAATATAAAAATTTTCCCTAAAAAATACAATTACATTTGGGTATGTATTACAATTTTTGCTTTTTTTTTCAAAGACATTTCACTTATCATACATTATTTTTGATGACAAAATAATGTAGATATTTGTAGGCGAAGAAACTCAAACTACTGGCGTTCAAAATAAACTAATAACACACAAAACAACCTTTATTATATTTTAGTATATTTTTAAGTAACAATTGTATGTGATATTTGTATTTTAATTTAAAAAAAAATTAAATTTTGTAATCGCTCATTACGCCGAAACGTACGAAGTCTTTAAAAAATAAAAATGTTAATACTACAAAAAAGAAAAAAAAATTCATTTAGCCTAGGATTTTTCAACAAAATTAAAATTTATTTATAAGAAATTTTCACCATTTAACTTTATATTATAATCCTATTCTCACTACACGGCGGTTTACTCAGTCCGTTTGCAACGAAAATAAAATAAACCCGGTCCTGCTGTGCGAGTCTTCGTACCAAAGAATATAGATAAGCGTCTATATTCTTTGTTCGTACGTTGATCCCCACGTTGCCACATGCTACAATTGCGTTTCAAAGCGATGGCTCGGCGTAAATCTCAAATTCGACCACGCGGTCGACTACATACTCCTCTTAATACACCAAGATTGCATATGGTTAAGTGCCGTTTGTAAGTATTTCGTTGCCAGGTAGGGATTTCTACTACTGGCTGCTATTGTGTCGTCAGCATATAGGCTCAGCATTGATCTTGGTGTAGTTGGGATATGCGCTGTGAAAATTGTGTACATATATGACGACAACACCGCTACCTGCTGTACTCCGACCTTCATAATTCTGACCTCGAATAAGATTAACCCTAACCGAAGTCACCCGAAGTCAGAACCTTCTGTTATTAAAGACCGATAAGTGAAAACATGTCATCGCGTCACTATACCTAATTTGTTTATTTTAGAGAGCAAGCCTTCGTGCCAGGCTCTGCCAAAGGCTTTGCTGACATCGAGAAAGGCGACTGTTGTATACTTTCTCTCATTGAAGCTCAAAAAAATCTATTCGGCGAGTCTCAGTATCTGCAGTTTGCATAAATGTTTACTTCTGAACCGGTAATTATGCTTCAGGTACTGTTTCTATCCTCTCCGACTGTTCTTTAAGCATGGCTATTATAACTCGTTCTGTAATGTTGCTTATTCTTAATAAGCTACTAGTAATAAACTAATGAGCCGTAGTTATGTGAAAAAATTTCTTTTTTTTTTCGGCTTTTCTATCATTATTACATGAGTTTCTTTCCATTTACCAGGAAAGTACTTTCAGGATGTAATTGATTAGGTTTGTTAAGAATAGAATTGCTTTCGCTGACAGATTTTTTAAGGCCCTGTTTGTTATATTATCTGGTTCTGGAGCGTTTTAGTATTGGTCGTTTTGATCAGCAATTTAATCTCCTCTAAGGAGAAGTAAATAATGCTATTGCTCTCTTTCTCCTGAGAGTGCTGAGAAGAATGGGTCGAGTCAAAAAATTGTTGAGAACGATAAAAGTACGCAAGACTGCATACCTTGGACACATACTAAGAAATAATAAATATAGTCTTCTGCAGGTCATCATGCAGGGTAGAGTCGATGGCAAAAAGGGAATAGGTAGAAAAAGGAAGTCATGGCTGCGAAATATTCGAGACTGGACAAACATGACTGTAGACGAATTATTCCACGTTGCAAAAGACAGAGAAGCTTTTAAAAATGTGGTCGCCAACCTCCGTTAATGGGGACGGCATAGGAAGAAGAAGACTCTTTCTCCTTCTTATAATTTGGTTTGTTCTTTCTAGTTTCTCTTACCTTTCTCTACTTAGCTGGTTTATCATCCGGTGAGATCTTTTCTTTTGTCAGTTTTTTTCTTGTATTAGTTTCTTTAGCTCACTGCTGGTGTCCTTAAACGCTCTTGTAGTGTTTAATACTTCTCCATACTTCTCCAGTTTCTATTTGGTGTTTATTATGGAAACTGATTTTATTGTTTTGCTCAATACTCTTTTGCAGTTTGGTCATTTTGTGCATTTTCTTTTGCGGCTTTGTCGGTAGTTAGTTACTACTGCAACCAGAGTCAGTACAATTGAATTATGTGTTGAGTCCGCTTTTTCACAGATTGCACTTCGTTCTGTTAACCAACGTTGTGTAAAATTGATGTGTTTATGTGGGTGGGAAGTCTGTCTTCTCCATGGAAGGCAACATGCATGAAATAAATTTATGTTTTTAACTATTACAAAATAAAGTATTATTTATCTTAAATTTGTTCTAGATGGTGTAAATTCTAGGGGACGACGCCCACTGGCAGCTATGGGGGGTAGAGATACAGTGAGAGACAGAGATATGGATGACATGGGCGGTATGGGAGGCAGAGATGGAATGGATAGTATGTCTGGCAGTATGGGTAACAGACGAAGACCAGGTGGTATGGGAATGATGGACGGATCAGAAGGCATGGGAAGTATGAGAGGACCAGGGAGAAGAGGAAGTATGGGAGGAGCAGGGGGTATGGGAAATATGGGAGGGTCCGGAGGTATGGGAAATATGGGAGGGCCCGGAGGTATGGGATATAATGATGGTATGGGGTATAATGGAGGTATGGGATATAACGGAGGTATGGCTATGGGATACATGCCTGGTGGTTTTGGCTATACACCTGTTTCTCAATATTTTGCATCCATGGGTGTAATTCCAACTGGAAATGGATACTGTAGCTGTCCACCACAATTACAAATGTACCAAGGTAAGAAATATTTATTTCCTTTAGAAAAAAAATTATAAAAATTTAAAAAAATAATATTATTTATATTCGTTGCAAAGATTTGTTCTTATTTAGTATTCATAACAATACAAAAACAACTTCAATATCTTATACACAAGATTGAAGTTTACTTTAAAATTAAATTTATATATTCTTTTTGAGTATCCCAAGATAATTTTAAGTAATATTTAATTCTGATGTAGCAAATTCAGATCATTAAAGACAGTTAATGTTTTTAAAGCTCATCTTCACTTCCAAAATATTTCATTACTTCGACATATAAATTTATTTTGATTTTTTGATCTACTATTACGCTTTTATTATTGACTCTCTCTTAATAACGCAATAGGTTTAACAGGTATTTTATGTACTGTGTTCATATATATTTTGCAAACCAGATATCCTGCTACTTTATTATTACATTAACATTATTTTGGTTCTAAAAAGTTAGCAACACTTTTAATTTTAGGTAATTCCTTTGGTGGTCCATATGGTGGTCCAAATGGTGGACCAAATGGTGGTCCATATAGAGGGAATTCCTATGATCCAATGTCCAAGCAAGGAAATTATGGATCTGATGACGAATCAATGTCTGGTAATCGCGGTACTCCTTTCCTAGGCGAACGTGGCGGCTTTAAGGAAGAGAAAGAAAAAGAGGCTGAGGCTACAAAACCTGTTGTGGCAGACGAAAAGAAAACTGACGAGAAAGCAGTAGTAGCAACTGATGCTCATTAGTGTGCTAATGTTTTTATTTTTTATGTTATATTGATAGGTAACTTGTCCCATAATTTTAAGATGTACGAGTAAATCGTTACAAATAATTTTGTTTACATTATCAAACCCAGAGTTAAATTCAACTTAAGTTAACTGATTTAGGTGAAGATGAATATTAGATTTTTACATTATTTTTGATTTTTTAAGCTAAATATTTTTTCCAAAATTCTATTTTAAGAAAATATATTATTTATTTTCAACAGTCGTGACAAATTTTAACGTTTTTTTAAAGTAACGATTGGTAACGATAACACATCCATACCAATCGGTAATTGCATGTCAACTCTTACATCAATAAGAGCATCCACAGACATCAATCTCCCACTTAATCTCAATCCAAAGACTCAGACCCTCATTATACGAAAGCTTTTTTTTCTTACATCAAAGGCGTTACTGACAAAATCTACAAAATTCTTAAATCAAGAGGAATAAAGACAATATTTTTCCAACAACAAAACTTTCGTCTGTTGTCCGATCAATCAAAGACAACATTCCAAATGAACAGCATGGAGTTTGTGAAATTCCTTGTGCAAACTTCCCCCGATCTTATATAGACCAAATAAATCGTATAATCCAAAATAGAATTTATGAACATGATTTTGAAAATTTTTTAATCATAGCTCCCATCTGCTTCTATAAACCAAGTATTATCCAAAAAGCCATACAAATTGAAAAAAGGCCAAATTGTCTCAATAAAAGAGATGACAGCATTTGATTACCTTCGACATTGAGACCTCCCATAAAGAAAATATCGTCCGCTCCACCCGCCAATCAAAATCCTACTGTCAGAAATGATCGCGCCAATCCCCACGCTAATCCTCACACCAACCTACACCCAAACCACGTCATCATAGACGGTATAAACGAACCGTTCTCTGTTCCCAGCAGCAGTAATTCATTGATTATTGATCAGTCTCGTGGTGTCTGGTAGGTCGGGAGACTGAATCCTCAGAAGCCCGGAAGAGAGGATGTCGAAAACTTGTTGATAATGACTGTTGAGTTTAATATTAGTTTTTGTAATAGTATTAATCTTAGCTCTAGATTTAATTTTACTAAACGCGGAAATCTTTCGGAACATATAGATGATATGTTTTGTGCTATAATTTGGTACAAGTAAGTAGAAATTAAAAAATGATCTATAGTGTAAATATGTTTTACTTTTTTTAGTATTTTAGGAGATGACAGAACGCACAGCTTGATATTAATCAGTACTTTTCTTTCTTTTCCTTAAGGAGTCATGCCAAAAGGTATATAATTAAAATAGTGTATGTAATATAAATGTCTTTTATGATCGTTGGTTAACTTGTTTACCAAAAGTTTTGTAGTATGACTCAAAACTAATATTTTAAATGTAGCCCTTTAAATTGTTCTTAAAAAAAAAAACAGAAAAATAAATACGACATTTTTCATTATAGGTTTTTTAGTTGTTACTTTATAGAGTACTAAATTTGCATTATTATATCATATAGCCTCTGTTTGCATTGACAGTTGGACATAGGTCTCCTCAAAGTTTTTTAATTTATTTCTATTTTATGCTGCTGCAACTTAATTTATCGAGATTTTGTTATCGGTATCTGACTAGTGGGTAAGAGGTCTGTCTTGACTGCTTTTACGGAACTAAGTCCTCATCTCGAATGCGTCTATCCTCTTTTTTAATATTTCAGTTTCAAATTCGAATTATGCGTTTTAAATAATTTGGAGATTTGGAGATGGAGGATAGAAGCTGCTGTGGTTTTTTAAATCTTATTTCCTGAAAATAGTTCCACTGTTTACGTAATACTGTACCCAGATCTGTGGATAGAACACTTGTTCTACCATTTTTTTATTACTGGTAAATTGTAAATCTTTTCCAATTCTCAGTTTGTTAATTATCTTGAGCAGTGCCTGCAAAAATGACAATGTGTAGTCATTATAGGCGGGTTAACACGATCCAAGACTGCTTGGATTTCAACTTGGACTAAGTGGACTTGTACAAGTGTACTTGCACCAAGTTGGTTGCCACGATTAAATGACTTTTATGTTAAATAGCTATCGTAAAGATGGCGGAAGTGATTGTGGAAGGTGTTGTAGTGGTTGGTGGTATGTTGATACATGACTTTAAAATCCAGAAAAAAGAAATAAAAAATAACAAATGCCGCAATTCCTCAGCTTCGTATATCTCCATGAATCTAACACCTCCCTTTCAGAACATTGTTTTTTTGCGTTTACTTCTCGTTTTCGATTGTTCGACACTGACGCCATTTTAATTTTATAAGACCACACTACTTGAATCCAAGGAAGTTGGCCAGTATCCTATTTAACTTGGACAGAACCTGTTGATACAAGTGAACTTGGATGGACATGTGACACTATCAAAGTAGCTTTCATGTGTTGCGCGGGCAAAGTCCAAGCAGATTTTAACGAAGTATACTTGATTGGATCGTGTCAACTCGCTTTTAAGGTCACAATATACATTCATGTCAAACACCCTGCAGGATTTTCGCTTCATGCGTTTTCTTCCTTTTGTCCTTGGCGTAAATACTGCTATATTGCAGGACTTTCATCATTTTGTTGTGTTGAACTTTATCAAATACCTTTTTTATAATTAAGCAGGTATATATACTACAGATCATACCTCCAACATCTCTGGAAAAAAATTTGTATGCTAAATAAAGCATATTTTGATCCCAGATCCTTCATAAAACCTAATTTTGTCAGTGATACTTGTTTTTCGTAGATTCGCAACTGATTCATTAGACTGTATTTTTAACCTCTTACTTGTTTGGCACTATTCTAAATTTTGATCTTAACCATTCTCTCCGTATTTTTTTAGTGTTAAATATCTCATTAAATATAATATTTAATTCACTTCTTACGTTCTCATAAAAAAATTTGATGATCTCTGACTAAACTTCATACATACTACAAGCTTTTCCATCTTCAGGGATGTTATTTCTGCTTACAATTTCTTCAAAAGGATGTCAGGACTGTCAAGTTCTAGTCTTAGCTCTAAAAACAATTCTTTTACGTAATTTTTCTATTTTAATTTAATTTGTTCTTCTTCTTCAAGTGCCTACTTCACTAATTAAGGTTGACTATAACCATAAGAAATTGGTTTCTATCTTCTGCTTTTCCTAATGTCTTTAAACTGGTCCAGTCACGAATGTTTTTCAGTCAGGATATTTGTTGATATCTACAATTATTTCTTCGCAGTTATTTTTTATTTTTCCCATTGATATTTTATTCAACATTCTGTTATTCTGTTATTTTCTTTACCTTAGTATAAACACCAAATGTGTTGTGTTTTGATTGTGATATTTCGATGTCTCTGCAATTATCTTTGTGTTCTTTTTCTTTTGTTTCTCTAATTTTTCTCCTAAATTATTATTAATGGATCTGTTTGTGCATATAATTATCTGCTTTGACTTAACTTTCTTTTTTCATTAAATAATTGCAATAACCAATCAGATATTCAGAATTTCTTCTCGTATTTAGTTGATGTTAGTATTTCTTTCTTTACAGTTTTCGTAATTCTTTCATTAATTTTTCTTCAACTCCTGAGCTGTTTTCACAACAACAAAAGCCACACTGAGCAGAATCATGATTTGAGTTCTGATCTCTGGATCATTGATTATTCTTCTATTGTGAGTAGTTATGTTTTCAGTTTCTTCCATTGTACTCTAAATTTTGCTACTAACAAATGGTAATCGAAATTTAAATCTGCTCCTGCATAAGTTTTGGCGGTTTTAGAGGTATGTCTGTTCGGTGCCGTCTTTACCGTATTTTGGTGATGTCCAGGGATATAATCTAGAGGTAGTTCGGAAAATGTGTGTATTATAGCAAAAGTATTTTCACCAGCAAATGTACATACTTTTTTTCCCGCTCGCATTTTTTCAAGGCCATGGTGTCCAATAAGGATTTCGGATCTTGCTCTTCGCACTTTTAAATTTAAATCACCCGTTATTATAAATAGTTCTTTTTATGGATTTTTTTATGATTATGGTTACTTGAATGTTAAGATTATGTATATATTCTTCCTGGTTGTTTGTACGTTCATATACTCCTATAGGATATTAATATTCTGTTTAAATAAGTTTCATTTTTATTACCTTATTTCCTTTTTGTGGTATATCCAGGTATCTCAGTACTTTCTACATTTTTTCTTTGAATTGGTGTGTTATGTAAAACTTTATATTTAAAGTAAGTAGATTGTATAAAATTACAATCTTCTTTTTTCTTATATGAATATAGAAAATTATTAAAAAATACTAAAAATCCTGGTAATATAATTACAAATTCTAAAAATAATTTGTTTTATTTTAGGTATGTATACTGATATATACAGACCAAGGTATAGACAACCAGAATACGATATGTTGGATTATCCTAGATATAACGAGGCTCGTTCAAGATCTTATTTTAACAGATTTCTTAAATAGTATAACAGTGAACATTTACTCTAAAAATAGAGAACGAGACCACTATGTTTGTTAAATAATTTTATCCTGATGACAAATTGTGCTTTGAATACATGTTATTTATTTATTACCCATGTCTTGTTTAAAAAAGAAAATAAAAAATATATAAATATAACAAACGTTTTAATGTTAGATATTTTATTTCGTCCTTTATTCTTCTTGATGTGCCTATCCGTGACGAAAGCTGGAGATCATCATGGGAATCTTTATCTTTTCTACAGCAGCACGGAAAAGCTGCACAGATGTTATGTTAAACTAGGTTCTGAAGTTCTTTAACCAGAATGTTATCCTTTTTTTTTCAAGACCTCGAATTCCAAGTTAATATTATCCCTCCGTTACTCGCGCGGGGTGTTGTCCCCATGCGTATATAACTGTTAATATTTTCTACGCAATAATATTATCGTCGCCGTGCGCCGGTGTAGCTGCATATTTTCGTCGTCTTTACCACCTGGAAGAATCTGATCAGTGTACTGTGAGTCGTTGTACCGTAAGCAAGTGCTTGGG